GCTGGAGGTGGGGGCACGGGCATCGGTTTCACAGCTCGCTCTGCCCCGCCGCCGCGCGGGGATGGGGGTGCCGCGTCCCGGCGGAGCCGTGCCCCCGTCCCACGGTAAAGCGCTGCTCTCCGAACCGTCCCGCCGGGCGCTGACCCGGGGCGCTGAGGGTTAGCGCACCGGGGCGGGCTACGTAGAGTGTTCGCGGCGTTCCCACTGGTAACGGGGAGGGTCCGCGGAGCGGGAAGCGACCCTGAACTTCAGTCGAAGACAAGGCTTCTTCCGAAATGCAGATCAAATACCCATTAAACCCATTATGCCTCGCACTCTTGGGCTACACAGCTGCGGTATCTTCCGATTACCGCCCTGCCGCCTAATCGTACGATGGGACCTACTCCTGAAGAGCGTTACTGCTTGAACTGTGCCGCAGAGGACGAGTGGCGCGGACCCACGGCGGGAGGGGGGCGGAATTTGGTCCCGTGGAGTAGGAACTAGAGCCGTATCTCCCTTCCTGATGGGAGGCTTTCTTCACCGCGGGTAAGAGGGGACCGTTAAGGCCTTTCAGACGTTAAATGTAAACGGATTCTTTCAATTATCTTTCTAATTACCCAGGAAGATACATAAGAACAGGCTTTTGTAAGTTTTCTGTGTTTTTAAAGTCTAGAGGGCGTAGACTTGTCTGCAGCACTTTGAATTCTTAGTCGAGGCTGGACTGCCTAGCGGGCTCTTTACCTGATCTGTGGTGACAATGCTCTAGATCTGTCTTGAATAGATTCAATCTTTTACTTGGGCTATATCTCCTATATGTATTCCACCAGCCACTAATACAATACTGGGCCCAAGCAGAGGTTTGTTGCTGGTTTTACCAAAGTCTTCAACTGTTTTAAAAAACAAAAACACAAACACCTAAAAATTCAATAAAAATATTTTTGGCCCAAGTCTGAAGATGTAAAAGCAGTACTATATAATTTCAGCTAATTTAAAAGGTAGTGATAGCTCATGCAGGAGGGACAAAGCCACTCCTGTGCTTGGAACACTGAAATCCTTTTAGCTTTTATTAGCTCCACCAAACTTAATCAGATTATCTGTAATGAACACTTGGCCCTGTTTTGTGCTGTGTTTGAGTTTGTTGGTTTTTGGTTTGTTGTTTTTTTTAACAGGGGTTTCAGAGCTATTTAGTTGCGCGTATGGATGCCTCCTCTAATCTTAGGGACCAACAAGGAGTTTGGTTAACTTGCATCTTTGTCAACCCAAAAGTTCTTTCCTTTTTTTAATGGATGGTGATCCATTTAAAGTGCGCAGCATATCTTCATGGGCTGCATCCAGGGAGTAATCAGCGTAGGGTGAATGTTGTCCTCTGTCACCGTGTGAAAAAGCTAACGGTTATTGCTTCTGGGCAGGGCATTCCCAATATGGGAAATCTGTGTAACTACGCCTACACGTTTTTTTGCCCCTCATAAAAAAAGGCTGAGTGGGAGATAATGTGGCTGCAGGATATTGTACTCTGGTTATGCCTTTCTAGTTCAACAGCCTACAAAGTACCTTATTCCACGCTTTTCAGGAGCAGAGAGTAAGATTCCTCCTCACACACCTGTCAGGGCAACAGGCAAGCAATGCAGCTGAAGATGCAGGGAAACAAAGCTTGTGTTTTTAATGGTCGCTGTAATACTAGTATTGAGAAAAAATAGGTTAAGTAAGTGAGTTATTGGACAGGCAGAGTAGTGATTTTTATCTTCCCTTAGTGAAAGTCTGGAACAGAACAAAATGCTGTTGGCTCCTGCTGTCATACAGGTTTCAGAATTTATAGTAAAAAGCATCCGTTCACGCTTAAGCTACTGTTTCAAGATGTCAGCAGCAAAAAAATCACTGTGAACAATGTTGAGATAATATCTATGGCTTCCATTTAGCACAAGCTTGAATCATTTCACAACTGTACAATGCAGATAAATTCTTTAAAAATGAAAGCCAGTTTGTGAAACGCAGGTCTTTAGGAAGAGATAGATTGTACTGCATGTCTTCTTGCTTTAGAAGTAAATAGCTTAGTATCATTCATAAATTCCCTTGCCTGTTCAAATAAAATCCTTAAGTTGTTTCTGACAGAACCAGTACGGTATCTAACACTGTGCATCAGGTTTCACTGTCAGTTCTACTAATCTATTTCCTTCCATGTTAGCAATTTCTCTGTCTTTTATGTATAGATCTAGTGTAACTTTTGGTCTGGAAATATCATTTTAAAATCCAGCAATGTAGAACAATAGAGTACAGACTAAGACTGGCTTGTAAGGCATTTGTTAATCTCATATTTGGGTTCATTAAACCTACTTCAAAGAACTAAATTTTATGAAAGATTCACAGCAACTCGTCCAGTTATTTTGCATGACGTGCAAGAAGAAAAGCTTAGAAGTCAAACTGTGAGCCACTCATTACTAGTTGCTTAAAAATATCCTGTGATGCACTGAACAGTAGGTCTGAAGAGTTCAGCCTCGATTTAAAATGCAACTTGCTGTAATATGTCTTGGTAATAGGAAAAGCATTTTGAGTGGTTTAAGTTGATTTAAATCCTGATTGTGAATTTGTTATTGTGTAACTTCAGTTGTCATACTCCTTTTATAACTATGTCTACTTGAAAGTGTAATACCAAACCTTTAGATGAATAGGAAGGGGAAGGCAGAGGACCTGGATATTCTAATTTTGGAGTGTTATATATTGTGATATATAATGATTATATGAATTCTAAGTTTCTTCCTGTGATACAATAAGCTATTGCTTTGGTTTGTAGGCCAGGGTTTTGGAACTACTGTGGTAAGGACTCTCAACAGAAATTCCTGCTTTTTCAGATGGAAGCAGGATCTGGACTACCCACACTCCAGCAGCCATGGTCCCCTTTCTTGGGTTATCCTTTCTTTTTCCAATGGCTAAAATAAACTTGCTTTTTCTTAGAACTTGAGAGTTTTTACTTGCAACAGATTGTGATCTTAAACACTGATTTGATGACCACATTCAACTTGAATAAAATATCTGATCTAGCCCACTAGGGTATACTATAATTAAAATTTGTACTATTTCTCATCAGTTAGAAATGCATTTCTGTATTTTCTTGAGCGTGTTCCATCTTGTGTAATTATTCCTATTATCTTTATTTTATAGAAGCGTTAAAAGAAATAGATGATGTCTATGAAAAATACAAGTCAGAAAATGATCCTGTTCAGAAGAAACGCTTGCAGCAGCATCTTCAGCGTGCATTAATCAACAGCCAAGAACTTGGAGATGAAAAAATTCAAATAGTTACTCAGATGCTAGAACTGGTAGAGAATAGAGCCCGGCAAATGGAAACACACTCTCAGTGTTTTCAAGATCTGTCTGAGAATGAAAAGCCTCTAGAAAAGGCGAAGATGGAGTCCTGCCAGCCAGAGAGATCTTCACGTAGACCTCGTCGCCAGCGAACCAGCGAAAGCCGTGATCTGTGCCATATAGCAAACGGTATTGATGACTGCGATGATCAGCCACCTAAAGAAAAAAGATCTAAATCTTCCAAGAAGAAAAAACGCTCCAAAGCCAAACAAGAGAGAGAG